CAGGATTTCTATATTGCTTTGATTCAAAGTACCTCGACAGCGTTTCGAAAACACAAGGAACTGATGTCATACACCGATCAGTCTGCACACGCAAACAAAGCCAAACACTAGATATTTTAGACAATATAGAAATCCTGGCCAGGACGCGTCCTGGGAAAATGGCACGTATGGTCACCCTACTTAAAGGAATAGCTTACCCACAACTGAAAATTTGCTGAGAATTAAGCACCCTCTGGCCATCTTCATTGGAACAGATTTTAAGAAATTTACTATTACATCACTTCAGCAAATAGCTCATCTGCAGTGAATGGGTACTGAGAATGAGAGTCCAAATAGCTGATAAAACCATTACAGTAATCCACATGACTCCAGTGAAGTAAAGAAATGTGTTAGTAATAAACTGATCATTAAGATGTTGAACGACATTGAGACGATAAACTCGTATCTTGGCATAAGCAATAGTTAAAAATGTATAAAGGCCTTAATGATGGATTTGCTTCTTACAAACATGCAGCTTTTTCATGTTACTTGATGGACTGGAGTCATGCAGATTACTTGTTGATTGTTGTGATGTTTTTTATCAGCTGTTTGGGCTTTCTGACGGCACCCATTCACTGCACAGGATCCATTGGCAAGCAAGTGATGTAATGCTAAATTTCTCCTAATCTGTTCTGATGAAGAAACAAACTCTCTCTATATATACCTATATCTTTGATGGCCTGAGGATGAGTACATTTTCATTAAATTTTCATTTTTGTGCAAACTATTTCTTTAAATGTAAATATCACAAATAGCATCATTGCGGTGAAGCATGGTAGCTTTATGTTTCAGGGATCGTACTCAGGGACAGGAACCTCTGACAGACTACCTTCATTTATTTGATGGGCTTCTGAACAGACTGTTAAGTTGCACATTATTTCAGTGAAGCATTTCTCGGCTTGGTTTCCCTTCATTTCCTTCCCAGGTAAAATCTTCATTCACTCTTGTCTCACTTTCAGATGTATGGACGCTATACACAGGAGTTGGGGGCCTATGCCAAAGAAGAGGCAGCTCGTCTGCGTGAAGATGGAGCATTGCGGAGGACCACCAGTGTGCGTGGCCAGGCTCCAGAAATGATGGAGTATGAGAAGGACTCGTGTGCCAAGTGTCAAGGTGGGTGTGCTGTATACATATGTGGGCCAACTGTTTGCTGGCTGGTCTGCTAGTATCATAGCTTGCTATTTGCAGCAGTGGCTACAGAGCAAAGCTAGGAAAGCACACAAGGATGACAAGGATGAAGGGCAGCAGGGATCGAAAGAGAAAAGGGTTTTAAAGGGCAGGAGGCAAAAAGAACATGCTGAACATGCTGGAATTGGGGATTAGGTGAGACCTATGGTGGAGCTAAGTGGGAGGGATTTACTCAGGCTGATACATCTACACTCTTGTTCAGGCCCACATGGAATCAGTGGCAGTAAAACTTGGCATTAAAGGGGTGGTTGATTGCAATTTCACTTTTTTAATGTTAGTTTGTGTGTAATGTTGCTGTTTGAGCATAAACAATATCTACAAATTTACGAAGTTGAAAGTTCAATGCAAACGGAGATGTCGTCTTTTAAAATTCTGGCAGTTTAATGCCTACAAAAACGGCTCGTAGGGACTACAACAAGTTACTTCCCGGATTCGTGACGTCACAAACCCTGATAAACCCCGCCCCCGGGAACATGCAACGAAGAGGGTGAGGCCATGCTGTGCTGCTTTAGAGAAGAGGAAGAGAAAACTAGGGGTGCACAAATAAATCTATTCATATATGAATCGTGATTCTGTCTTCTAACGATTCACAAATTTCAAAATCAATGTTCTAAAGCAGCGGTTCTCAATACTGTTCCTCGCGTTCCCCTGCTCTACATACGCTCTGCATCTCTCTCTCTCTCTCTCTCTCGCTCTCTCATTCAGATCATCAGCTCTCTCTCATTCAGATCATCAGCTCAGCTCTGTTTATACACTTTTATACACCATTTATACACTTATTTTCACATAGCTATGAGAAGTGTTACTGCACGATAAATCGAAATGGAATCGAAATCGCGATTCGACAGAAGCTGCGATTGTCATGCGTATCTTTCAGTGAAACACGGTTCTGTGATCAGCAGTAAATCTCCATCCAAAGGCCAGAGGGCGGAGGGATGTTCAGACTCGCACTAGAGGCGGTTTAGCGAATCACAACACACTGGACTAGCTAACCAATCAGAGTCCATCGTGTATTTCTGAGGGAGGGGCTTCATAAAAGCAGGAAATGATCAGCGCGTTTATCAGAGAAGGGACAGAGCAGTGAAAAATAAAGGTAAATTATGTGAAAAATAATGCGTTTTTTTAAAAACGAAGCTTTAACACATGTTAGACTGCACCCCATAAACACAATCAAGCCTAGAACAAAACCAGTCAACCACCCCTTCAAGGATTCATGCTTTTCCTGCAGGATTGGAACGGCCATACTTTCATCTCCATCTAACACAATGGTTTACAAACTTTTGGAGTTCCAAGCCCTACTTTGTTCAAGACAATATTCAGAGGCCCTCCTATCTAAGCTGATATATGCCTCTAGTACTTCTGTAAACCAAAAATATGATGCAAGTTTAAAGTTTAAAGCTTTTTTTTCTGAGTGATAACAGTTTCTTAAATGAGAAAGAATCGGGAATTGATTGGAACGTTGTTAATTGCTGCATTGTCATGTGAGTCACAGGGAGAGGAAGGATTATTTTCCTGCCTTGCACATGTCATCAGAGAAGAG